TTACAACTATTGCAATCTCCTAACCAGCGAAATAAATCCAAGCCCTTTGGAGGCACTAAACCTGGTACTTGCAATTATTGCAAGAAACCTGAGCATTGGAAAAAGCACTGCTATAAGTCAAAGAAACAGCTTAAGCCAGAGATCCTTCAATTACATATGGAATTAGAGGGCTCTGGGGACACAACAGGGGCTTTTCCTATGGTGACACTTAACAGGCAAGGAGAGACTACCACATATATTAATGGAGAACTTTGCAAATTTCTAACGGACACTGGTACTACACTCTCTGCAATTAATCCCACATGTTTACAAAAGCCCCTGCCATGGAGTACTAAAACTTCAGAAGTTGTAGGGGTAATAAATCGAGAAAAGACTTTAATTCATTCAAAACCTGTTCCTATTTCCCTTGGCCCTATTGAAGATTTACATCCCTTTCTGCTCCACCCTGACATTCCTGTTAATTTGTTGGGCTGAGACTTTTGTCTAAATAGGTCTGTCATTTACAATTTTCAGAAAAAAGAAAACTATTATTAAGCCTAGCAGATCCTCCTAAGACTTCTAACAAGGGATCTGAATCAAAACTAATTCAAAGGGAAGAAGCGGCATGCTTTTTGCTAGCATTAGTCATGCAAAAGGACAACTCAGTCCCTTCTAACCCATTTCCCCCTGACGTTTTTTCATTAATTCCTGAAACCTTATAGGCCACCACATCTGCCAATGTGGGAAAAATTTTATCAGCTGAACCCATTAAAGTTCAGGTAGACACCTCTAAGCCTTGACCAGGAGTTCCTCAATACTCCCTTAAATGAAGCTGAAGAAGGATTAGCTCCTATTACTCAGGACTTCCTTTCTAAAGGATTAGTTGTACCCTGAATCAGCCCTTTTAACACCCTTGTACTCTGTGTTAAGAAACCAAAAAATAGAGGTTGGAGGTTTGTGCAGGATTTAAGGGCTATTAACAGCATTGTGAAGAATGGGAATTCCAGAACTCTTAATTGTGCTCATGAGGAACCTATACATAGATCAAGAAGCAGTCATTATAACAGAACAAGGGGATACTGTGTGGTTTAAAGTCAGGAAAGGTGTGCGTCAGGGTCATATTCTTTCACCATACCTATTTAGACTGTGTGTTGAGAAAATAATCTGAGAAGTTAGACTATATGAAGAAGAATGGGGCATCAGGATTGGAGGAAGACTCATTAACAACCTACGTTATGCAGATGACACAACCTTGCCTGCTGAAAGTAAAGAGGACTTGAAGCACTTACTGATAAAGATCAAAGACTACAGCCTTCTGTATGGATTACACCTCAACATAAAGAAAACAAAAATCTTCAAATGGGACCAAAAAGCAACATCATGATAAACAGAGAAAATATCAAAGTTGTCAAGGATTTCGTTTTACTTGGATCCACAAACAACACCCATGGAAACAGCAGTCAAGAAATCAAATGATGCATTGGGTAAATCTGCTGCAAAAGACTGCTTTACAGTCTTAAAAAGCAAAGATGTCACTTTGAGGACTAAGATGTGGCAGACCCAAACCATAGTGTTTTCAATCACCTCATATGCATAGAAAGCTGGACAATGAATAAGGAAGACTGAAGAAGAATTAACACCTTTGAATTATGGTGTTGGCAAAGAATATTGAATGGACTGCCAGAAGAATGAACAAATCTGTCTTGGAAGAAGTATATCCAGAATGCTCCTTAGAAGCAAGGATGACAAGACATTGTCTCACATACTTTGGATATGTTATCAGGAGGGACCTGGAGAAGGACATCATGCTTGATAAAGTGGAGGGTGAGCAAAAAAGAAGAAGATGCTCAATGAAATAGATTGACACAGTGGCTGCAACAATGGGCTCCAACATAACAACAATTATGAGAATGATGCAGGACCAGGCAGTGTTTCATTTTGTTGTACATAGGGTCACTATGAGTTGGAACCGACTTGACAGTGCCTAACAACAACAACAACCACATTATTATACCTAGATTTCCAGTAGTCCCAAATCCTCACTTATTGCTTGGTAATGTTCTCCCAGATACTACACATTTTACTGTAATTTGATTTTCGTAGTGCCTTTTTCAGTATTCCTGTCCATCCTGAGAGCCAATATTTATTTGTCTTCACCAGGGAAAATCTACAATTTACCTGGACTGTAATGCCTCAAGATTTTACTGAATCTCCCAGCTATTTCTCTCAAATTCTCCATGCCAATTTACAGCCATTGCAATTAAAAAAGAAAGAGTCTAAATTACTGCAATATGTCGATGACTTAGTCATACGCTCACAGCAAGCCTGCATTGATGACAGCATAATTTTATTAAAACATTTAGCTGTAGGAGAGCATAAGATTTCTAGAGAAAAACTACAACTAGCCCAGCCTTCTGGTAACTATTTAGGTCATTTGATTTCTGAAGAAGACATTTTTATTGATCCTCAATGGGAAGAAGCTATTTTTGCTTTTCCTATCCCCCAAACTGGGGCTTTGCAGTACTGCAGAACTTGGATTAAAAAAAAATTTTGTTTTGTTAGCCCAACCCCTATGTAAATATTTGAGAGCCCCTGAACCAGATTCTTTCCAAATTGCACCGGAGGATCAGAAAGCTGTAAGGAAACTAAAAGAAGCTCTAGTACACACACCTGAATTAGACTTTCCTAACTATCACCTGGATTTTTCCCTTTTTGTACATGAAGCCTCTGGAAATGCTTTAGGCATTTTAACTGAGAAGTATGGAGAACATCAGAGACCAGTAGGTTACTACAGCCTGCAGCTTAACCCTGTAGCTGTTTTTCCTCCCTGCCTCAGAGCTGTTGCTGCTACAGCCAAACTAGCTGACAGCACTGTAGATACAATGCTGGAAACTTTACTAAATGTTTTCGTTCTCCATGAGTATCTGCTATCCTTAACTCTGCTTTGACCCAACATCTTTCTGCCAGTTGACTCACTTCTTATGAAGTACTCCTCCTGGCTGCACCTAATACTGAATTGCATTCTGTGGTTTGTTTAAATCCCGCCACTGTCCTTCCAGAAATTGACAATAAGGATTACCGAACACATGATTGCTTAAATTTAACTGAATAGCTTTTAACTATTTAAGAGAAACTCCTTTGACTAATCCTGATTTGATTATATTTGTTGGTGGCTTCTATTTGAAACCTGATCCTGCTAGCTCTCACTGTCAGGCTGCGTATGCTATCATGACTTCCACTGAGGTTCTTGAAATTCAAGCCTTTCCCAAAGCTACTTCAGCCCAACAAGCTGAATTAATTGCTCTTACCAGAGCCTGCAAACCTGCTAAAGGGAGGCCTGTAACTGTTTACAAGGATCCTAAAGACACCTTCAAGATGACATGATTTTGGCATGTTACAGAAACAGAGAGGATTTCCAACCCCTTCTGAAACTGCTATAAAAAATGAGGCTTTAGTAACAGACTTGTTAAATGCTTTACTACTCCCCTCTGAGACTGCTGAAATAAAAATACAGGCTTATCAACCCAAAGGAGTCCCTCAGACTGCAGAAATCAGAGGGAATAACCTTGCTGATAAAGCAGCCAAACAAGCCACCTGTCAAGTTATTTTAGCCCCAAGGAAGCTGAAAAAGGAGATTACTCTGATTTGCTCATAAATAATTATAATCTTGATTATTAACTTAGAAAAATTAATAAAACCCAATAATTAGATAAAATTAATGAAATTAAAAAATGTAAGACAGCGGATTATTCTCAGGATCTCATAATCAAGTTATGGTTTGGGCCTAATCAAAAGCTTGTTTTACTTAAATCATTTCATGTCCCTATGTTAAAAGCTCTCCATAAAAGATCCCATTTAGGAAGAGATAAAATGATTGAAATTTTAAAGAAATACTCGTGGGGACAATTTTTTGAAGTGGACAAGCATGTTACCTTTCACTGCTGTTTATTCCTGCTATAACCCAGGCAAACCTTTTAAAATTTCACTTGAAAAATACCTATTACCTTCAAGACCTATGCTTGAATGATCGTTAGATTTTATCCAGGTCCCACCTTCAAATGGTTACAAATACACATTGGTAATAGTTGGCAGATTTTCACATTGGATAGAGACATTTCCTAGCTGCTGTGCCACTGTAAACTTTGTAGCTATGAAACTTCTTGAAAACACAATCCCCACTTGAGGAGTACCAACAATTCTTTGCAGTGACAGGGGAACCCATTATACTGGACAAGTAATTAAAGAAATATATAAGATTTTTCCTATCTATCAGAGACTCCACTGCCCTTACCATACACAATTTTCTGGGCTGGAAGAACTAATGGTTTAATAAAAACTCAATTGGCCAAGCTTTCTGAGTCCCTAAGCTTATCCTAGACTAAAGTCCTTCCTTTAGTCCTTTTAAATTTGAGGTCCACTCCGTTTGGGCCACCTAAATTAACCCTATATGAAATTATTACTGAAAGGTCTATGACTCTTCCTTATTTTTCGACTTATTCTGATTCCAGTTTAATTCAATGTGAATTATTGAAACATTGTCAGTCTTTGATTCAGTACCCTAATAGCACATTTCATGAGTCAAAGAAGGCTTTAACAGCCAAAATTTAGAAATATAAAAATTACCTACTATTGAACCAGGTAACTATGTATATTGGAAGAGACACCAATGAAAGATTCCCTGGAGCCTTGTTGGAAAGGACTATCTTGGTCCTTCTCACTAACCCTTGTGCTGCTAAATTACAGGGAGTTAAAACCTGGATCTACCTATCCCGGCTGAAGAAAGCTAAAATACCTTCCTGGAATGATCAACCTACTGAAGGACTTGAGCTAAAATTCCTACACCCCTGGCCACAGCCAGAAGCAGACGACATCTGAGACAGACGGCTGGTCCAAGACCCTATACCAGGCCTGAAAATGCACCTCTTTATCTTTTTACTTTTGCTATAGTCATGACTCTATTAACGTTCTCCTGGATACTTATGCTCACAGTTTTGGACATATGGTGTCCTCTCAGCCTCAAGTCAGTCTGGCCTTCCCCGATGGGTCTCTCCACTGCAGAGATCTGATTGGGTTGTTCTTGATCTATAGATACAAGAACAACGGAGAAATAGTTCATTGTTACAGGAATTTACTATTAATAAATTTTCCATTGATAAATGACGTCTTTTTGGATCTGAACAAAATCCAGGCCATAACTTAATCTTTAGTCTTAACACAATTCTTATTTTACTGAACAGAGTCACTCAAGAAGAGTTAACTAAAGAATCTTCCAAACTCACAAACAGTACTCTTCATACTGTAGGTCCATATCAACAACTGTAGGATGGATTCATCTGGTTAACTCCTCGAGAAGGGCACTAAGTCAGGTTGCTCCCCTTTGCTGGGAACAATCTAATCATACCCATAAGAATAACACAACCCTCACCAGACCTATGAGATGGCTTCTAGTGTTTGAATGTGCATCAGTTATAACCTTACAAGCTACTGATTGGTTTGTCACTGACTGGCTACACTGCTTAAATGTCTATTGGGTTGCACTTAAAGGCGAGCCCTGCTTGCCCTAAAGATGAGGCTTCACGCATAGCAAGGTGAAGATTCGGTAAGTCTATGAAGAAGTCACTCTTATAATATTGATGAATTAATTTTATAGAAATTATTGATCAAAAGGGGGGTCTGTGAAGGAGCTTTTTTAAAAAACTTGAGGTGTTTGGCATAAAGAGAGGCTTCTGCCAAAACTACAGGCTGACCTCTATTTTTGCTGTTTACTACTTATTCTGAGCAGACCTTCAAAAGTCAGCTAGCCTGTGGGCTCCGCTCCTCCCCCTTCCTCTCACAGCATGCTCCCAGGAAGAACACTCACTCAGGCTGGTCCTCAAAATATTCGTAGATTAAACTGTTAAATGACTCAAACTTTACAATTAGCAAAACAATGTTTAAGGAGCCTCACAATTGTCCTGTGTCTCTTAAAGCATGGTTTTGTAAATGTCAACTACTCCAGATTTTTTTCTTGTAAGTTCCTGGATTTTCTGTATTTAAGCTTTGTGAAAAATTCCTTTTGCTGGAGCGCTTTGGTGAATCCTCATGAAGTGTTGCCTGATCCAGATCTCTTTGTTCCTTCAATAAACTCTTTGCTTTAATTTTAACAGAAGCTCCAGTTTGCTCTTTGACAATATTATCCTATCACTGACAGTGCTGTATTTTAGGATAGATATTGAAATGTTCTTTTTGACAATGAATGGGACACCATTTCTCTTCAATTTGTCATTTCCAGCGTAGTAGACCATACGATTGTCTGAAACAAAATGGCCAATGCCAGTCCATTTCAACTCACTAATGCCTAGGATATCTATCTTCAAGTCTTCCATTTCATTTTTGGCAACTTCCAGTTTTCCTAGGTTTATACTTCATACATTCCACATTCTGATTATTAATGGATGTTTGCAGCTATTTCTTCTCATTTTGAGTCGTGCCATGTCAGCAAATGAAGCCCTGAAAGCTTTACTCCAGCCATGTCATTAAGATTGACTCTATTTTGAGGAGGTGGCTCTTCCCCAGTTGTCTTTTGAGTGCCTTCCAATCTGAGGGGCTCATCTTCCAGCAGTCTATCAGATAACGGTTTCACTGCTATTCATAAGGTTTTCACTGGTCAATTTTTTGAGAAGTAGATCACCAGATTTTTCTTCCTAGTCTGTTTCAGACTGGAAGCTCCACTGAAACCTGTCCACCAAGGGTGACCCTGCTGGCATTTGAAATACCATTGGCATAGCTTCCAGCATCACAGCAACATACAAGCCACCACAGTACGACAAACTGACAGACAAACGGTGGTGGTAAAGGTTAAAGCCTTGGAAATTCTATAGGCCAGCTCTACTCTGTTCTATAGGGTCACTATGAGTCAGAATTGACTCGATGGCCATGGGTTCAGGGGTTTGGTTTTCACCTCTTGCAGACCTACCACCTGTCAGTGGAGGCTTGTGTGTTGCTATGATGCAGAAGAGGTTACAACAAAGCTTACAGACTAACATAGACTATGAAGAAAGGCCTGGTGATCTACTTCTGAAAATCAGCCAATGAAAACTCTATGGATCACAAACATTGATTAGCAACTGATCATGGGGATAGCACAGGACTGGGCAGCATTTTGTGCTGTTGTGCATGTCAGCTAACCACAACAAGCTCCATAAATCCATAGGCTCCAGGTTTGTTTACTGCAAGCCTATATATCCTTTCAAATGTATTCTAAAGATAAAAGATTCCCGTTGTGACCCTAATACTACCCAGCATGTTCTCTCCTTTTCAAAATGGGTTACTGAGAGCTTGACATAAATAATGCCATGATGAATCTATAAGGTTTTTTTTTTTTTT